ATTATCCAGAAAGTGAAAAGACAACCTACAGAATGGGAGGAAATATTTGAAATCCTATATCTGATAAGGGATTAATATCTAGAATATATTTTTAAAAAACTCTTACAACTCAACAGCAAAAATCAAACAAGCTGATTTAAAAATGGGCAAAAGACTTGAATGGACATTTCTTCAAAGAAAATACGCAATTGTCCAGTAAGCACATGAAAAGATGGTAAACATCATTAGCCATTAGGGAAATACAAGTCAAAACCACCAGGAGATACCACTTCACACCTGATAGGATGGCCATAATCAAAACAAATGAACAAAAAACAGAAAATAAGTTTTGGCAAGGATTTGGAGAAATTGGAACACTTGTACGTTGCTGGTGGAAATACAATATGATACAGCTGCTGTGAAAAATATTTTGGTGTTTCCTCAAAAAGTCAAGCATAGAAATGCTATATGACTCAATGCCATTCCTGGGTATATGCCTAAAAGAATTGAAAACAGGTACTCAAACAGAAACTTGTATGCCAATCTTCATTGTAGCATTATTCACAATGGCTGTAACGTGGAGACAATCTGAGTGCCCATGGTTGGATGAATGGATAAACAATATGTGGTATATCCATACAATGGAATATTATTTAATCATAAAAAGGAATGTTCATACTGTAATGTGGATGAACTTGAAAACATTGTATGCTAAGTGAAACAAGCCAGACACAGAAGGACAAATATTATGCAATTCCATTTATATGAGATACTTAAAATAGAAATTCATAGAATCAGAAAGTAGAGTAGAGGTTACCAGGGAAGAAAGGAATGGGAGTCATCACTTAATAAGTGCGGAGTTTCTGTTTGGGGTGATGAAAAAGTTTGGGAAATAGTGGTGAGGGTTGGGCAACATTGTGAATGCAATTAATGCCACTGAGTTGTACAGTTAAAAATGGTTGAAATGGCAATTTTTTGTTATGTATATTTACCACAATAAAAACAATTTAAATAATGCATTCTTAGTAAATACTCCGGTTTACAGAAAACCACACTATTAATTAAGGCAAGTCTTAATAAGACATTTAGCTTCACTGCTAATATATTGTGACTGTAGTGCATTCATTTCTAGCTAAGTAAACAGCAATAGGACCAAAAAAGGCATTCTTTGGGTCAGAGATTTAGTCAGAATCAGGGAACTGATAGATTTGTGAGTCAAATCAGAGGTGAAATTTGAGTATTTATTCTCTAGACGGTCATTCTTCACTGAATGCTACCACCACATATCAACAAATAGAGAAGCCGGAGAACAGAGGTTTTCTTGGTTCCTATAGTTGTAATTCCTTTGGACAACAGCAACGTAGTCAGTTGCAAGACACATGCTGAGGGGAAGAACGTCCCTAAGGTATTCTCGACTCCTCTGCCCCTCCTTGAACCACTTGAGGAGGTAACGTCAATAGGGCCACAGGCAGATCTTCTCTATCCGGCTTAAATCTCCTGTTCTCTTTCCCCAATTTCTTATTTCTCATTAGAAATAATTTGCTAATAATTTGTATGTTTTGGGAATCTAGATACCTTTTGGGAGTTAATGCTTTTTCACATGATTATGTTTTCCCCACTAAAAATAGGAAAATATTTTTTCTCTGGACACTCCACTGGAATTGTTAAGTGCTCTGCTGAAAGGAAAATAAGATCTCTGGGGTATAGACATTACCAACATTAGAAACACTCATAAAAATTCTGTTCCCAGAATTTTTCCCTTTAGTCTAAATTACTAGTATTTGAGATAATTTTCAATGGAGGGCAGAAAATAGCTTTTCTATCAAATTAAACATCCAAATTACCCTGGCATATTAATTTTTAACAGAACAATTATGCCACTTTTTCTTTTAAAAGCAGGAGGCCCTGCCGTACATCATGGTATTTCTCCCCTAAATTTCCTTTTTGGATGTTTGATGGTAAATGTTATTACCATAGTTTTGCAGGTAAAGAACCTGAGACCAAAGAGGCTAAGTGCTTTGCCCAAATCAGAGTAGACTCAGCGTTGAATCCTATACTCGCCCGTCATCTCTTCCAGAGCACTCTTTACAATTAGAAAACATTGCAGGGCGCTGTGCATAGGAAAAGGACTAGAATGAACATTAAATATTAAATATTATTGGCTTATTGAACTACTAATAGCCCTACCATTCAAAAGTTCATGTTAAAACTAACTTAGGGGGACTGGCCCTGTGGCACAGTGGCTAAGTTCAGTGTGCTCTGCTTTGATGGCCCAGGTTCATGGGTTCAAATCCCAGGCACAGACCTATACACTGCTCATCAAGCCATGCTGTGGCAGCATCCCACAAACAAAATAGATGAAGACTGGTACAGATGTTAGCTCAGGGCTAATCTTTCTCAAGCAAAAAAAGCAGGAAGATTGGCAACAGATGTTAGCTCAGAGTGAATAAAAAAAAAACAAAAACAAAAAACCCTAACTTAGATCCAATAATTTTGTTCTAAAGGTTAAGTTGTGCAGATCCTGACAGCATAGTAACTAGTAAATTGGTTGAATTAGTGATCTATCCATTTGCAATGGAATTCACATTTTTGTTATTTTAAAAAGTCCTTTGTCAGCAAATCTAGAACAGACTTCAGATCCCCTGTTTTGTTTTGTTTTGTTTTTTAACCAATAACATTGGAAGATGATGCTCCTACTTAAAATTTCTTGAGGGTGGGTGGCTGGATTGATAGCGATGGGTGGGGTCGGGCCGGGTATGGGAAATGAACATCAAGAGGTCACAGCTAGAGCCTATGTGAAGCCAAAAGGCCTTTTGACTTGAGACCTTATGTTCTTAGACCCATGCGGAGAGGAAGAATGGTCCCACGATCTCATGGCACATTATGGTAAGATCACAATAGAAGAAGCTTTGACCATCCTCTCCCCTCATTTTACAGATAAAAAGCCTGAAGTCCAGAGGCTAGTCCATAGCCAGAAGACTGGAATACAAGGACAGCAAGATGTTAGACTCCAGAACCACAAGCACCTTCCGAGGACAGATCCTGTGAAATGGAAAATTCTTTTCCCCTGAGCTCCTGGGTGGACTTAGGTATGCAAATTTGAGCATAGTTGCTGAAGAGAGCTGACTTGCCCTGCCTAAGAAAGTGTTCTCCCTGGCGTCGTGGTCCTGGACAGGAACAGCGTTAGGGGGAAAAGAGAGGCAGCCTCAGCCACCCAGACTGCCATGAGCTTCCCCCACACCCCCACAATTGGTCCTTGGACCTGAGAACACTGCTGGGTGCGGGTCTTAGTGGGAACCGGGGATGGCATGTAGTTTTGAGTCTGGGTTAACTTCAGCAGAAACAGTTGGCAGGTGCACCTGAAGGAGCTGGGGATGCAGGAGACTAGGAGAAAGGAAACCTCTGGGGATGGACACACATTGTGATGGAGTATTGGTTCATGGAATTGAGCTTTTTATGCAGCAGCAAGACCCTGGGGTGTTAGCCGAATTACACTGGATAGTGGCATAATTCCTGCTAAAATATAGGTCTTTTAATTCCTGGTTCAAAGCTGTTTTACATCATAATGTGTTTTTTTTAATATACAGAGAACTTCCTGGTGGCCAGAGATTCTACCCTGAAAAACAGCCCAGAGCAAGGAGCTGTCTAAACAGGAGGATAAATTCTGGATTCTAATGGCACCCAGCTTTGACACTAATTCTTTCTCCAACTTCTCAATTACTGTTACTACTGTCCAATCAGAAAACCACTGTTGGTATCTATCAGACGCAGACCAGGTCTGCCTCTAAATCTAGGAAGCGAGAATAAATTCCAGCCTAGCTATTCAAAGAAGCCAGTAATAGTAAAGTACTCAAAACACAGAACATCCTGTCATTGCAGGCCCCTGAATCAAGCCCCTTTGATCTGACTCGTTATTACTCACAGGATTGGCTATTACTCTCAGGGCTGGTTGCACCACAGGGCTCCATTCTCCAAAGGGGACACCATTGGGTTTAATGCTCTGCCTGTTGTGATCTTGAAATTCTTAGCAATTTTGCCTTTGAATTTGTGTTTTGTAAGCCAAGTCCGAGGGACAACAGAGCAGTTGCTGGGGCGCTGGAGCCTCACCTCACAAGTGGTCCCGCCTGCCCGGGAGAGGCTCTTTGCTGTCCTGTCTGCTCTCCTGCCCCTGCTCAGTGATCTTTGCCATGTGCCCTGGCAGGGGTCAGGGCACAGCTTGGGAAAGGTCAGGGTCAGGTCCACATCCTGTGCGCCAAGCCACGGCCAGGGCCCAGCGCCTGTGAGGGTCTGTATTCGCCCCACACACAACACCATGACTGACAAATCTAGACATTACATAGCAGATAAAACACCATGACACGTCAAGAGAAAGCTTTTTCTTGCTTTTTGAACAGGGGACCCCACATTTTCATTTTGCCCTGGGCCCCACAAGTCATGTAGCTGGGCCTGACGAGATACCTTCTCTGGCAATCTCAAGCCAATGTTATTTTTAGATTCTTCACTAAATAACCACAACATACTAGAATAATAACTCTGATTTTACTAAAAGTATTATTTGGTTTCAAGAACTCTTAATATTCAACACAAAATGAGATATTTTCAATAGTTTAACAGAGGAAAGAAAGCCTCTATATTATTCTTGCCAGCAGGTACCATTGGCAGTAGAAAGTTTAGATCTGTTGTTGTGACTTGACAGTATAATGCATGAAATGAAAAAATGATGGATTATTTTTTTTTTACTGAGGCAGCCAGGAAAAAAAAAAACATTGCTTATTTCTCCACAGTGAAAATATTGTCACTCCATATTTTCTATCACATTAGGGAAGGTTTAAAAAAATCTTGTCACTTCCCTCCAGGGCTGGTATTTGCTCATAAATAACAATAACATTTTTCCATTATCTATCTGGCACTGTGTTAAAATGGCCATAGGCCAGTGACATCAGAAGAATCAAGAAAAAGTGCAAGAAATAGCTTTTTATTTCTTTTTAATTTTGTGTCTGCTTCATATCTGAATGTCTTACCTTGAGCTTGGCCAAAAGAAGTTCATGATCATGAAGAAGTTTTTTGGTTTCATCCTGACTGCTACCAATTTCTAGAAGATTGGGCTGTGATTCAGCCAATTGAAGTTGTACCCATTCGCCACACTAAAAATAAAAATGAAATAAATGCACTTTTAGTTCCTCTTGCTCCTTCCCCTTTACCCTTCTCTTTTCCTTTCATTCCCTTTTTTTTCCAGTTTCCAGTTGCACTGTGAACACTATTCTTTTCACAGAGACGGCCCTTACTTAAACTGAACTATAACAGGTCTAATATAAACCCATGCCCTGCCTTTTCTTTTTTATTCTTAGGATAAGTTGTTTTTCTTTGGAAATGGATTTAAATGAAAAATTCTCAAATGAGGAACACGTACAACAGATTACGTATTATTAAGTATTACGAAATTACAAAATAATTCACGTAATTGTACATTCTTTCACTCACAAACTGAATTCCATAAAAAGAGTGAAAGTTCACTTGGGCAAGTAGGATGCAAGCTTCACCGTAGGGGAAAGGTTTTATAAATATAATTTAGGCTGGTTAGTGTCTTTCCACTGACCCTGGTGGTTCAACCAGAAAGAATAAACAGTAGATGAAGCAATTGATTTTTATCTTATTTCAAGGTTAAAACATAACGTTTTCCAACTTTTGTTGTTGAGTATTCAATGAAGTATGTAGGCAAATGTTGATAAAATTAGATGTGTGACAACTGCCATTCGAATGCAGCCAACTTGTTTTCTACACTCAGGACTTTTTCACTGCCCTAAGATATAACTCATCACTGCATTTCCTGAGGATTTGCTTTTCTAAGAAGCAACTGATTAAGCAGGAGGAGCTACTAACTGGCACATGCACGTGGATAAGTGAACTGCTGAAGAGAAACAAGAAAAACGTGGGACTACTCTAGATCATTAGTGCCCCAGGACCATTTGGAAACAAGAAGCCTGTACGGGTCAGACACACGCACTTCTATTCCTCTAGGATGGGCTTTCTGCTTTGAATAGCTTGGAGTTTTATGTGGGACGGAGGTGAGGCAAGACAGGTGGGGAGGGGAGACGGAGCGAACATTCTTAGAAACACGGTTCAGTTAAAATAAGAGTTTCCACTGTCATTTTAGAGACTTTTTTCTTACTGTCAATCTACCCTCTGATTCTCCTATGATTTATTCCATACGTATTCTTCCTCATCCTGCCCTAAGAAATCCTTCATATTTGAGGAAAAGCAAAGTCAACTTTTTTTAAACTGTGGGTTTTCCTCTTTTCCCTCACTGCTGAAATTTAGTTACTCACAGCATCATAAAATCACATGCAAATTATTAAGTTTTGTTACTTCTGCTTCAGGCTTCTTTCCAAGTCCACTCATTGCCTTTGAAAAGACTAGAGGGCAAGGGAATGAGCCGCGTTCCCGTTTCCGTGGGGCAAAGCCTCCACAGCACTGGGAGATCGCCCTCCGGAGAAACACTTTGCGTTCTGTGATTCTAGAGTGAATCATTTTGTTCAGTGTCAAGTGCTGCTTTCCTTTTACAATTTTCACATTAACATAAAATTCATAGCGTTTAAGTGAAATTAAACAAGCCTCGTTGTCTGAGCTCTAACAAAAGGCCAGAAAAGTCATTCAATTAAACCTGGTGGGGTCCTGAAAGGAACTGGCTGGTGCGCACCAGCTTGTTTGCCAGATTCCCTTCATCAAATACTGAATTCTTTAGGGGGTGAATTGTCTAAATCCAAGCATAATGCTTCAGGGGTTTTTGCAGGGCATTTTCATAGGAAATAAAATCATGGCTGTCTTCTTCAACCTAAAGATGTGTGGTCCTCTTTGCAACTGGGCAAATTGCTAAACATAAAACATGCAATAACCTTAAGCCCCAAGTGGCTTCAACTGCCTGCTGTTAAGAGCCAATTTGACACATGCCCTTTTCACCTTCCCTGGCAGGGTCTTCATGCCCCCAACAGCGTCCCAAGGATTTACTAGTGCCTTTACCACGTCAGAATTTGTGCTGTGGAGGGCACGTGTCAGAGCCTCTTGTTAGGCGTTCCCTGCGCTCCATCATGCTCAAAATAATGCCTCCGCCTGTCTGCTGGGACCCCCCCTTCCCTCCTCCATCACACCACTCTCAAAAATCACAAACATTTCACAGGTCCACTTGACTCTTTAGCCTGGCAACCATGAACTTGTAATCACGAATGCCTTGCCTTTAGAAACCAAACTGAAAGTATATGGTCGAGTTTTGTTTTTTTAAAATCAAACTGCTGTAGATATTTTCTGACTAACTGAAAGAGAAACTCTAGTAACTGGCTGAAACTTCATAGAGGTTTCTCTTAGTTGCCGATTTAAGAAAGCAGGAAGATGTTCTTGCTGTGTTGTAGTCTATATGCTGTGTACTGCTGATTGTGTGGAATGTTCTTTAGGACTATCAACATAACAGCAAGAAACTTCCAGCCCCACAGAAAAAGGAAAGTGGTTAGCTTACCTTTATGACAGCTATAACGATTTTGGAGTCCCCAGCCTGCACAGCTACTGAACTGACTGTTGTCGTAGAAAACTCCACACCAGGACTTCCTTGGCTGGACATGGTACTCTAGAAACAGAGTTTATACTTTGGGCAGCCTCTGTACAGATGTGTGTCTGCTGGTCATTTCAGAAGGCAACCACCGGGGTTACTTGGATTCATTCAGGGAAAGAGCTCAGCTCACACTGATTCCTCTGCCAAAAGGAAAGAACAGGAGGTTAAAAATAGACAACCCCATTGAGTTTATCATGAGAGAGAGAGAGAGGAGAGAACAGGAGAGAATCGCCACACCCCTAGTATGGTAACACTAAGCGCCTGTTATTTCTGCCATTATCTTAAATGCGGAGGGCAGCTTCTAGCTCTCTGCCTATCAGCTGAAGTGTGATAGCAAATGGAAAAAAAATTACATCCTGACAACCCGAATTAGTTTTGCCATTGAAACTATACAGTTATGGTGGACTTTGAAACTAGCCAGTCATTGACCTAGGTATCAATCTTTTCAAGATTTTTGAAGTCTTCCTCATGCAAAGAAAACTCCCAAAAGTGTACTTTAAAAATAAGTTCTGGTATTTGTTTCAGGATTAAGCCACAAAATTGTTTGAAATACATTTTTAGATTAATCTGCTTTTCTAAAACTCACTGTCCTTTGTCAAACAAAGTTTATACGGGATGGTCACCTTTTCTCAGAGCCTCAGATTTCTTAGGAACCTTTAATAAATATTTCAACCAGCATTTATCAATAGATATATATCATTTCGAAATTTCTTTGTGACTACTGTCCTCCTCTGAACAGCATTTTCAAATTCAGTTATCACAACTATTGGGAAGCGACACACTTTGCAGTTACCATTTAATTACAAGAAAATGTTTGTTCTTTAATTAAAGGTTCACACTATGTATATTTTGCTACAATTTTTTTTAAAAGGATAACACTGTACTTCACATTTGGTTTTTATTTCCTCCCCTCCCCCACCCCCAAGTCTGTGAAGGAAAATTATCGACGGCTTCAGATCAGAGCCCACAATCTGCAGATTAATCTTATTGCTAGAAACTCAGCGTGGGTCACAAGTTGTCTGTGGTATTACGCAGCAGCTGTTGGATGCCCTGTCAAAGAACGGCTGAAAATAACACTGAAGTTTAGGTCAGAGGTCAGATGCAAACACATCAGAGACACTGACTGCAAAGCTGCTGGAGCCATCGGAAATCTCTGGGACAAAGCCAGAATGGAGGATATAGCAATAAACAGAACTAAATGAGTCCACTTGCTGTTTAAACCCCTAGCTCTATTTTAAAGCACGTTCAGGTTCAGGGCCAATGTTCTGAAGATTGAGTCAGCCCCATTGCTCTGTTTTGCTAAGGTTCATGATAATACTGTATTCTTAAGTCGAAGAAGAAAAAGTGCTTTTACACATACTTCAGTGTTCAGCAATTATTTTTTGTTTCCCAGAGCATGTCATGGCTGCTCTACAAAACCGTGTAGCCGTGACCCACGTCCTCGCGCTCGGCGTCTGCCTGCTGTTCCAGTGGATGGAGACCATGCCTGGATCCCAGTTCCTGGGTTCCACGAACTTTACCTGATGCCATGAAGGGAGCAGTTGGAGGAAGCTCGGGAGCGTAGACGCCAAGAGACGGTGTGATGTAGAAAATATTGTAGCTGGTTTCATTTTATGGCAGGGGTTGAGAGCTTGCAGAGACCCAACCAACCTCTTTGTTGAGGTTGCCTCACTGTTGAAGGCAGGCTCCTTCTGCTTGGGCAAATTGTTGGTCTAAACAAACCAAAACAAACTGAGTGAAACCAGTTTTCAGCTACTTGCCCTCAAGAAAAACCAAGAGTTGACAACTGTGTCACATAATATCCACACCCGAAACTAAAATGCCTCAAGGGGCATTGCTTAATTCATTGTGTACACTGCCAACCAGAACAGCAAACAGTGACCTGCACCCTAAACACACAGTGCCCTTGCGCTCAAAGTTAATCCTATTGTTAGAAACTGTGTGTCATAAATTGCACAAAGGGCCTCAGGAGGAAAGGAAACGTTTGGCAGCAGGCTGCAAAGACCACGGCTAGGAAAAGAGTGGTTATGTCCATAAAGCCCCACTTAAGATGGATGATTGTGCAAAGGGTGTGGAGGGCAGCGTGGAATGTGTGGAATTGCAGGCACACCAAGGGAAAAGGTGAAAGAGCTGGCGAGGAGAGAGAACGTGGTTCAAAGTCTGATTACTTCCCAGGTGTAAGGGAAAAGGGAATTAGACATATTTAAGACTGTTAAAAGATTAATCCAGCTATTTAGCACCAAAGGTAGTGCCTTTTTGTGTGTAGATGACCTTTCTTTCCGTTAATTAGATGGAGCAGGCTCACGGTGTTGCATAAAGAAAATGTTTTCAGGACCGGCCCCATAGCCTAGTGGTTAGGTTTGAGTGCTCCACTTTGGCAGCAGGTGGGGGTTCGCTGGTTTGGATCCTGGGTGCAGACCTACACACCGCTCATCAAGCCATGCTGTGGTGGCATCCCACATGGAAGAACTAGAATGACCTACAACTAGGATATACAATATGTACTGGGGCTTTGGGGAGAAAAAAAAAAGGAACATTGGCAACAGATGTTAACTCAGGGCCAGTCTTCCAGAAAAAAAATAAAATAAAATGTTTTCTACATTGATGGACATACGCAATAATGCAAACTGCACACATGAATTTAAGTAGTTTCTGACAAATTTTTCCAACTCAAACTCTTGGCTTTAAAATCTTCAAAAGACTTGAATCACTTTTTTCTCCCCTTCCTTTGCTTTCTATTTTTTTCCTCTTCAATTTTTTAGTCCTTTCTCCTACAGAAGCTCTGGTGTTCGGAGCTCTCCATCCACCTCTAGCCTATTTAGAACCCAGCCCTATGTTTCTTCATCTAGCATAATATGTAACTATAAATTGCATTAACTCCGGTAAACAGCTTGCATAATAGTTAATATAAAATATATTCGACTAAAGAAATCGGTACACTATAATTAGATGTATCTCTTTCAAATGTTAAACTACTAAAAACTTTTTGAGTTACGGTTTGTTTATACTCTGCCTCCCCTATCATCACCAAAAAAAAAGAAAAAAAAACAAAGCAAGAAACCTTACAGGCATTCTCATATCCTTTGAGGTCGATGGAGGATCTTGCCGAGGTTATTATTGCCTTCTCTGTTTATCCCTCTGGGAAATGCCTGTTTTTATACCAGCTGAATGTTAGTGAAATAGTCTCCATAGGGAGTCAAAAAGCTATAACTGGATTCTGTAGAGTTGCAAATCACACATTTTTTCCATTTTTTTTATTGTGGTAAAATACACATAACATAAAATTTACTATCTTAATTATTTTTGTGCATAGTTCAGTGACATTAAATACATTCATAATGTTGTGCGACCATCCCTACTATCCAACTTTGTAACTCTTTTCATCTTGTAAAACTGAATCTCGACACCTATTAAACAATAACTCTCCATTGCCCCCTCCCCATTGCAAGCACTCTTCCATTTTCTGTCCTGATGATTTTGACTGTTATAAGTATTTCATATAAATGGAATCACACAGTATTTGTCTTTTTGTGACTGGTTCATTTCACTCAGTATAATGTCCTCAAGTTTCATCCATGCTGTAGCGTATGTCAGAATTTCCTTCCTTTTTAAGGCTAAATAGTATTCCATTGTATGTATACACCATATTTTGCTTTTCAATTCATCCATCAATGGACACTTGGGTTGCTTCCATGTTTTAGCCATTGTGAATAATAGTGCTGCGATGAACACAGGTGTACAAATTATTCCTTTGAGACCCTGTTTTCGATTCTTTTGGGTATATACCCAGAAGCAGAATTGCTGGATCATACGGTAATTCTATTTTTAATTTTTTGAGGAAACACCACACTGTTTTCCACAGTGGAAAATAGCACATTTTAATGAAATACAGGTAGCTAGTATTTTAAAAATTTTATCATGTGATTATTTTTTAGCTCTGTCTATGGGTATGCCATTACAACAATGCACTTTCTTTGCTGGAGTATATGTGGGATATGCTCATTTTTTCATTCCCCAGTGTTTGTCTTAATCAGTACTACTTTGCGTTGAACTGTATTCAACTTGATAAAGACAAATTAGACAGACCAAATATAAATAACCCAGAATGAGTCTATCCAGATTAAAAATTGAAGGCAAAACTTTCTCTGCTGTTTTTATTATTAGCAGTAATAATAATAGCTACCATTTCGTGACAGCTAATTATGTGCCAGGAACTGGGATAAGTGCTTTTTACTCTTTATTCCATTTAATCCACATAATAAGACTGGAAAGACTTATTTTCCCAACTTTGTAAATCACACACACACACACACACTCTCACACACAGTGATTCCCTGATTCTAGTCTCCTCTGGTCCAATCTTTTTTGCCTGGGTTTCAAAATTATCTATGGTCTGGTCTCACCTACCTGCCCAGTGACAATTACCATTATTCCCAGGCCATCAGAGAGATCATCCTTGTTCTCTACTGAATTAATTCAGTTGTTCTATCCAGGAATATCATCCCCTTCCTTCCTTCCTCTGCCAAATTCCTCCCATTGCTAAAGACCAAGATGATGTATCAACTCCTCAAACAGACTGGTTTGTACTAGAGGGGCAGGAAGTGGAGGGGGGATGAAAGGGGTAAAGGGGCGCATATGCGCGGTGACAGACAGAAGCTAGACTTCTAAATAGAAGCCGAAATAGACTGATGTACACCTGACATTTATATAACGTCATAAACCAATGTGAACTCAATAAAAATTTTTTTAAAAGGTATCAACTCCCTTTAAAAGTTGAAATACCTACTTATATTCCTCTTTCCTCAAAATTTAGTTGTAACTCAAAATTTAATAATTACATGCTTGTATTATAAGTGTGTATTGTTTTCTAATGATTTCACTTCCATTCGTATTATTTCTCAACTAGATTTAAAGCTCCTTATGTATAGGAGCCCTGTCTTGACGTATTTTTTTGGATCTTTGCAGACCACCTCATAGGTTATTGCAGAGATTCAAAGATTTGCTTTATGTAAATTGCTTAGAAGAGAACCTGGCATGTAGCAAGTGCTGTGTATGGAGCATGGAACTAGGGACAGAAATGGCACTTACAAATATTGGCTGACTGATTGAATCACATTAGTCATATTGGAAAAAAAGATAGTTTTACTATGGCTCATTCCTTCAGTATTTATTCACACAACCAATAGTCATTGAGCATTTGCTATACAGCAGGCACTTATGCATTAGGAATATAGCGGTGAGTGAAACAGAGGTCCCCACCCTCAAAAAGGTGGCATTCTAGTGAGAAAAGACAGACCATAAATAATGAGATAAAGAACCAAGGTAAATATACACTGTGATAGAAGCTAAGGGAAAAACAACTGGCAGTGGGTTAAGTAGACTGAATCACAAAAGGTTACATTTAGAATTTGCCAGAGAAATCAGGGGATGCTTTCAGGGTATGTCTATTGGAATACAGAGATTAACAGGAATAATAAACCGATAGTGATTACAAAACAACAATAAATAAATCACACAATATGGCAAAGGCAGTGGGTTAGAAGCATGGGCTCTGAGGTTAAACTGCCTTAACCTCTATACTTCGGTTTCCTCACTGCAGACCGGGGATCATGGGAATACCTACGTCATATAGGCTTGTCGGAAGGATTGAACAGGATAATATTTGCAAAGTACTTAAAATAATGCCTGGCATGTAGGTGTTGTTCTGGTAGTTAAATATTCTTATTTCTAAGACAACAACAACACCTGTTAAGGGATTTCCTAAATATTGTAACTGCCACAAAATTTGAAATAAAATTTTTAGAATTAAGTTAAATTAAAACACATGGTAGGCAACACAGCTGGATAAACGTATTAGAAAGACATAAAACACACATTACCAGGGAGGAAATTATTTCACTACAATCAAATGATAAAAACATTTCAGTGAATCATCATTTCTAGAATACTGTTTTTACCATTCTGTTAGCCAAAATCTTCCCTAATTTATTCTTTGTACCATGTAACACCCCTCCTGGCATCTCTCATTTGTTTCGTAGATTACAAGCATTCTCACTTAATTGCCATCCATAAGTCAATGGAAGTTGCTCTTTCCACTTAAAACAGCCTCCATTCTAAACGTCAACTTATACTTCTACGCATGCATTCATTTGTTCATTCGTAGAGTATAATTAAATACCTACCAAGTGTCAGGCACTGTTCTAGATGCCAGGCACACAGCAATAAGCAAAACAAAGTTCACCCAGTGATAGAGCTTGCCTTCTGGCGGGGGAGACATAACTAAATAGGAAACAAACAAAAAGTACATATATAATTATGTGAGGATGTAATAAGTGTTATGAAGAAAAATAAGGTAGGCTAAGAAGAAGAGAGTGAACAGGGAAGAAGAGTTTAGGAAGGAGTCAGGAGAGGTTTCTCGTATAGATGATATCTGAGTAGAGACCAGGATTAAAGACATGCAGGTATCTGGGGAAGAACATTCCAGGCGGCTGAGGCACGCTTGTTATGTTTGAAAAGCATCCAATAGGCTAGTGTGGCTGGAGCTCAGTGAGGTTTGAGATGACACTGATAGAACATGAGAACTGGGAGGTGGCGGTTGCTAGTTCACAGCTTTCTAGGTAGGTCCCTCTACATCCTGGTTTGCTTGGGAGAACCATGGTTTACACCTGTTGCCCGGCATAATTACTCTTAAGGTCCCTTTCACTCTCCAAAGAGTCCTGTTTGGATGATAAAT